AGCTAGATGGCCGCTTGTTTACCTTCAAGCCTTTAAGACCCCAGACGCTATATCTTTTGATAGCCGGGCACCATCAGCTTTCTTCGCCACATGGGGCTGTGATTCTTGATGGGTGTAGGAAGCCTCATCTTTCTCCTGAGGAGTGGCTGGTGGTTTCCACCTGCTCACCTGGAAGTTAGCAGCCCAGTGTGTAGCCACTATGCCACCAGGGGCAAGGCCAAAAGCACACATGTGTCGGAGGGGACCTGAGCTCCGTGGCGTGTGCACGTGGCCCCTGGGCAGTTGGGACAGACAGCCCTGGAGGACGGGCCACTGCCCCTGTGGAGAAAGCAGTCGTTGTGCCAAATGCAAGCACTAGGTGGCACCATAGTATTACACCAGGTCCCCAATTGCGGCACACGGAAGATTGAGGGGTTGAACCCACCCAGCATGGCCACAGGACGAAGCCCTGGTCATCTGCTTCTGTGAGGTTGATTGTTGGGTACAGATGAAACACCAGGTCTCCGCAGGAGACAGGTGAGGCCTTCTACCAGCCTGAAGAAACCCACGGCAGCAGTTCCACCCTGTCTTCTAGGGGCACTAGGGGTTGGGAGGACTGCATTGAGAGGTCTTTGGAGGTACAAACGAGCCACCTTCCAACCCATGGTGACCCCGTGTGACTGCGCAGAACGGCCCCAGTGGTTTTGACTGATTGGAGTCTTGCTAGCCACCCGCTGGGCAGTGTTTCTTCCTGTGTATACGGGTCTCTTGGCGTCAGAACTGACCCAAGGCAACTAATAGCCACCCCAGATCTTTACAGGAGTGGACCATCAGGTCTCGTGCCCACAGACCCGGGGGCGGGTTTGAACCATCAACCTTTTGGTTGGCGGTCAAGTACTTCACTGCTGTGCCACTGGGGCTCTTCTCTGTACACGTTACAGCCAAGGAACCGATCAGGTTTCTACAAGTCCACGGAATTGACTCGATTCAGAGGGAGGGGGCGGTGTTGTGGGTTCTCAGATTAAGTCCTTGTAGGAAACAGTTTGAACCTGCCAGCCACCCCTCAGGAGAAAGGCAGGACTTTCTACTCCAGTTAAGTTTTACCGTCTCGGAAACCCACAGAGACAGATCTGCCCCGTCCTGCAGGTGGCTGTGAATCGGAATTGCATTGTTGAGGCTGAGCTTTCTGAGCGGAGACTCCGGGAACCTGCGGTCTGATAAGACCAGGAGCTTCGACACGTGTCGGAAGATTCCATTATCTAGTAATTCCATTTTGTCATGAACTTTTTGAAGCCCCTCCCTATATTTAATATTTCTTTTAAAACTCAGGGTATATATATTTCCAGCTATATCCTAACAAAGCCTAATAAATACCATGAAATAAGTTCCCTAATAAGAACACCACGGGCTGCCAGAACAGCAAACAGGTCTGTCTTGGAGGAAGTGCAGCCAGAATGCACAGGTCATCGGAGAGACCAGTCCCTGGAGAAGGACCTCAGGGTGATGACGTCAAGCCGGTGAAAAAGAGGAAGCTCCTTGATGACATCCATTGGCGCCGTGGCTGCGACAACGGGCTTGAGCACAGTAGCCATTGTGGGGAGGGCACAGGGCCCTGGGGGCACAGGAGGGCACAGGGCCCAGCGGCCTTCCATGCTGCTGTGCATCTGGTTGCTGTGAGTCGGAACCAACCCAACGGTACCTGAGGATGACGACGACATCCTGGTGGCTGGGTGGTTGCAGGTGCTGTTCATATCCACGGCGGCGGCTGCGTGCAACAGAACAAAGCACGATGTCCTGGTGAGGGGGGGTGTCGGCATGTCCGTCTCTCCAAGGGCTTTCCATCCTTGCTTGTGCTGGCCCTCTGCTTCAGCCAATGGGACTGTTTCCTGCCACAATTCGAGTGATGTGATTTTTTTCCTCGCATGAAATCGTGTTCACTGTGTAGAACATCACTTTGCTTATGGGAAGAAGGCAGACACAGAAACGGGGCAATTAGAAATGACGCACGTGGCTCGTGTACCCCCTGTAGCCCCTCACAGACCACCCAGTCCCTGGAATGCCGTCCTGAGCGTTGAAAACAGGTGCCTCCCGATGCCGCAGGGAAGCGTGTGTTTGTAGAGTTAGGGGGATTCCTTCCTTCTGCAGGTGGAGGGTGGAATTAGGGCTCAGAGTCAGGCCTGGAACCCAGTCCTCCTGCCCCCACCCCACCACTCAGAATCTAGGGGAACCTCAGGAGTGTGGAAGTAGCCTGGGATGTCTGCATGTTTCTGGGCACTTCTGATGCCCAAGGAGGTTCGTGCTGGGGAATGAGAGTCGGGGTAGTCAGGGAGGAAGCTTCCTGGGCCACTGACGTCCGTGGGCCCTCAAACTACCTATTTCAATGCTCTGGGCCCCTGGCAATACAACGCCCCGTCTCAGTGGCCAGCCACCCTCTCTGCCCCAGGTGCCCAGATGAGGAGCTGGAAATTATCAGAACCCCCTGCCCTTGGGTTGTCCCGGTCAGCCATCAAGCCACACTGTAATGAGCGTGTGGCTCTGCGGTGCCAAGCCAGTGGCTCCCATTCAGTGCCCTAGAGCTGATGTACCCCCAGAGGCCAAGGCAGACCTGGGCAGCTGCCTCCCTGCTGGCCCCTCGTCAGCCTCAGAACTGCCGAGTGGTCTTAGAGAAGATAAGGACACACCACATCTTTAATGGTTATCAATCTAGACTCTCCCATGTTATTACACACACACACACACACACACACACACACACACACACACACAAC